CCCCCCCCCGCCGGCCCCACCGGGGTGGGGGGCACCAGGGGGCCCGGCAGCTTGTCCCCCAGCCCTGCAGCCCGGCCGGGCGTGAGCCAGCCCCGGGCAGGCACCGGGGGAAACCCAGTGGAGGCTGGGAGGAGCTGTACACACACACACACACACACACACACACACACACACACACACACACACACACACACTCTCCCCTCCCTCCTCCCTCGCCTGCATGCTCTGGACACACATGCAAGAGGTCTCATACAAAGAACAATTTTCTAACTATTTAGTTGGTCTAATAAACTATATCACATCTACCCAAAGAACTGTGTCTGCCTATTCACATACACACCCCCCCCCCGTGCGTTCACACACAGTCACATGCACACATACACACGCTCCCGCTGCCTGCCTGCACTGGGCGCGCACACACACACTCTCCCCCTGCCTGCCTGCACTGGGCACACACACACACAACTCCCCCTGCCTGCATACTCTGGACACACATCCTCCCCTTGACTACACGCACGGGACACGCACAGCAGCAGTACACACAGACACTGCCCCCCCGACTACATGCACAGGACACACACACACACACCCCACCCCTCGATTACACACACAAGATACACGCACAGCAGCGCGCAACCCCGACGGCATGCACGGGACACATGCAAGGCAGCACACACACACACACACCAACTCCCTCTGCCTGCATGCGCCTGATGGACACACATACACACAACCCCTCTGGACTACACAACATGCACGGGACACATCCCCCCCGACTACATGCACAGGACACACACAAGGCAGCACACACACACACAAACACGCCAAGGACTACACAACACGCACGGGACACACACACACACACACGCACAATCCCCCGGGACTACACAACACGCACGGGACACACGCACAGCAGCACGCGCACAAACTACACAACGCTTCCTGCCCCCCGCCGACTGCGCGCAGGGATCACACACACACCCACACACTCACACACACACACGCTCCCGGCAGCCCGGCCCCGCACACCCCGTGCCGACAAGTGGCACACAAGTTGGCGGTGGCGCTCACCTGGCGCGGGCGCGGGCGCGGGCGC